ACTAACAAGACGCTGTGTGACACCATGACGAAGATTTGCAACGCCAGTGCCAGTGACTGGGATTTGAAGCTCTTGGACGCTCTCTAGGCTTATCGCATTGCTTACAAGGTAACCACCCGATTTACTCCTTTTCGGCTAGTATATGGACAGGAAGCGATCCTGCCTCTTGAGCTCGAGGTGCACTCGATGAGGACGGCTGTGGAGCACAGCTATGACTGGGATGGGGTTGTGGAAGCTCGTTTAGCAGCTTTGGACCGGTTGGATGAGCACCATCTTCAGGCATTCCAAGCTTGCCGAGCTCTGCAGTTCCAGCGGAAAAAATGGTATGATCGCCATTTACGCCATAAGACTTTTTCTGTGGGAGATCTGGTCTTGCTTTACGAGAGTAAGTACTGGAAGCGTCCTGGAAAGCTGAAAATCCGGTGGATCGGGCCTTATCGGGTTAAGGCTGTGAACATCAACGGTTCAGCTGAGCTGGAAGACTTCAGTGGTAATCCGTTACCTACTCCAGTCAACGGAGCTCGCCTGAAGCAATACTATCCATCTGAGGCACACGGGGACGTGGTGCTATCGTTGCCGGTATGATGTCGAGGGCCTGGAGTCGCCCTTGGTTAGTACTTAGCCTGATTTTTCATCTTTTTGCGGTTTTAGCTATCAGTTAAGGGGGTTAGCTTAGCTGGCACAGTATATTCTAGTGCCTCTTGGGGTTGGGAGAGATATAAGGTGGTGAAGAGGCGTAGAATGTAACCCTTGGCAATAAGAGAGGAGTCCAAAAGCATGGCAAGGCCACCAGCAGTGATTTGAGTGGAACAGAGGCTGATCATGCGAAGGAGAATGAGGGAGATTGAACGACGGTTCTCGGATCATATGGCAAGGGAACAGAGGGTGCAGACTAGCTGTCCGACATGCGGCCAGCCTTGGGTTCGTTTTCTTAGGGAGGTGCTAGCGGAGATCGTCGCTGAGCAATAGATTCACGCTTGCTCTTGTTGGGGTCGTGTTTTGCGCGACAAAACTTCATGCATATCTATATGGTTTTCGGACGTTAGTTGAAGATGATTATGTTAATATTACTTCATTATTGAAACGAAAAAACTTGGTTGGTCGTACTGTTCGGTGGGCTTTGAAGCTTTAGATATATAATTTTGATGTTTTTCATCACCTAGGGAGTTTTATAGCTGATGCTGATGGCATTTCTATAGCTCCTCTTCCTTCTCCACTCTCTTCTCATGTTTTTAACGAGCTTGTTGTTCTAGCATCTGTGGATTTTTTAGATGAGGATTCTGTGCCGTCGGCGGTTGCTGCACTTGATGTTCAGTGTCCACAAGGCGCATAGCAAAATCTACCCTCTTTTGATGAGGTTCGCAAAGGTCAAAAGATTGAGTCGTGGATTCAAAGGCTTCAAGATGGGTTTGAGAATCTTGCATCACTTGCTGATACCTTGAAGACGGCCTTCTTTATTTTGATGATCATTTACGGCTGATGGTGCCTTCTATCTTTATTCCATGGTTTCTCCATGGCTATCATGATTTTCCTCTTCTAGGTAGGTATATAGGGCATTGTAGTGTAACCAAGAAGCTACGCAGATCTTTCTATTGGCCGGAGATGCGACGTGATATTATCTAGTATGTGCGTAGCTGTGTTTGGTGCCAAGCTCGTAATACTCCCCCTCGTGCTATGGAAGGACGATTAGAGTCAATTGCAATTTCCCATTCGTTTGAGTTGGTGGCATTTGATCTTATAGAACTTTTTCCATAGTCGACTGCTGGTAATGAGTATGTTATTATTGCTTCTGATTACTTGATTACTTGACTTGTTGAGTGAAAGTTGGTGCTCTTGTTAGTGCCTCTGCAACTTTTGTTAGATACTTCCTCCTCAATCGAACAGTGTTCTAGCATTCTCGTTCATAGTGGATTCTTTCGAACACTTAAGTCATGTATAAATGTGACAACAATGGCGCTACAACTCCCATCATCGTTCACTTGCGGAGTACAAAGTGGATGACTTAGTGTTAGTCCATTTTCCCCATTTTAAGGTACGTGGTTTATCTAAGGGGTTTATTGCTCAATGGAAAGGACCGTATTAGGTGTTGTGGCAAGTTGGACCACAAGTTTATGAAGTTTGCAATAATGTTTAGCAGAATGATCTTCTAGATATTGTGCATGTGTAGTGGTTAAAATGCTTCATACAAAGGGATCAGAAGCAATTAATACCACTTACAGATCTGCCAATGCCTCCTCCTAACGTTCTTCCAGATCCCGGCCCATCTACAAAAGAACCTTGATGGTGTTCCATTATTCTGAAAGGAGGGAATGATGTGAAGGCCAAGTGTATGGCTATGATGCCATATACTAATATTAGTATAGTGGGATTTTGGTAGCCGTCGGATTGGTTTCAATCCGGACCACTCGCTCCTGTATATAAGCTAGGGTAATTGATATACACAATCAAAGCTCTAAAATAATGAAATTTATAAATAATCATTAGTTACGAAATAACTAACAATCACTCTTAAATTTGTTGTCATAAGGCTCAAACACTAAATTTACATCATTGAGTTATATATTTGTCCAACATAAAAGTAACACTCTAAATACAACATATAGAAACATAAATAATTACAGACAAAATGACTACTTAAATCCAATCATACAACAATAACCCTACTAACATCTTTAACAAATAACTCTAAGTACAAATGAAGAGGTTAGCCACAAATGATTAACATTTAGTTGAAACTAAAGGGAAGACTATGAGATGGATTTATATACCTAAAACTGTTATTACTTTAACTGCAAACAACTAAGCTAAATATCACTATCTTAAACTAAGTCAAGTTTAATTAGAGTTAACTACTCTCATTAAATTTAACTAAATATAAGATGTAATCTACCAACAAATATAATGTTACATAAGAAAAGCCTAAGGGAAAAAAACAACAACCACTTTTTTACTTTAATTTTAGTCAACTTTAACCCTTTCACTAAATGGCTTTCAAAAATGAAATGGTTTTTGGGCAAAATAATCAACAAATCAACCATTAAGAAAATTTGTGGAAAATTTTCTTTACTACAAAAAGAATAACTTTTAATCCAAGAATGTAAATTTTTAATACTCAACCAACTTCCTCTTATTTACAATTTCATATATATTCATTTCAACTTAAATTTTTATGACTCAACAATATGCCTAAGAGTCCAATATCATACCCATATATATAACATTTGACAATGATATCCGCAAATACCAATGAATACCCAAAATTTGATCATGAAACAATATTTTCAGGCATTTAAATTGCACTTACTAAATTGTTAGATGGAAAATGTGTGTCATTATTATGTCAATTGATAAAGAATTTTCCTTACAACTTGATTTTCCATATCATTTTTTATGTTAATATTTTAACTTCATTTTAAATGTTAAAAGTGATTAAAGAAGAATGTAAATGTAATATGGATAACTGAAGATATAGTTTTGTAAGTGACACATATATATTACAATAATTTGAGCATATATATGCACATTTATGTTAATCTTTTACAATTTTTTACCAGCCCACTCACCCACACCCTCAATTGATGATATCAAAACTCATTATTCTAAGTAATTTATGGCAATTCTAAAAAGCTTTACATATATTTCTAACATGTAAAGAACTTTATTAAAAAATGTATTACAAGGTTTTATTAGTTCATAATAGTGCAATTACTATAGTTGAAGACTGGAATGTTCCAATTTTAAAGTCCATCGCATTATACAGGTGTACCAAAGCATGCCCTGCTTAAAAATATAGAACTAGGTAGACAATATATGTACTAGATGTTTGACAATTGATATAGCTAAGATGTTTCGCTCACTCACCCATATTCTTCCCCAGAAAATCATATCACATGTAATTACGTTTAAGTTCATCCTATTTAAGCAGTGCATGGCCAATGATGCTTCATATGCTTAGTGTCTTCTTAAGTATATTTGAAAGGCAATGGCTTCTCTAGCTGCTGTGTTTGCTGTGGTCTCTCTTCTTGGATTGTTTTCCACTGTATTTGCTACTAATATAGTGAGTTGCACTACTACTGCTGATTGCACAACAGCGGGGCTAACTGGATTCACATGTAACAATGGAATATGTCAAAACCCTGGATGCTTTCCAGGTAATAAAGTTATTCTCTACAAATTACACTGTGCTATGTAACCATGCAATATCTATCTAGGTGATGCAATGGTTCATATGTACAGTGGAGAAATGAAGACCATGAAGGAACTTAAGATTGGAGATAAGGCAAGATCCTAGCTAGTAATCCACTTTGCTTCACATGATTAATGAGTTTCTACAGGTTGCTGTTGGGAAGAATTCATTTTCGGATATCTACGCGTTTGGTCACAAGGATCTAGATGTTGTCTCTGAATTCGTGCAAGTCAAGACCGAAGCCAACACCTTGGAGCTTACAGCCGGTCACTTTGTCCCAGTTAACACCAAAGGAGAGATAATTTACAAGCGAGCTGCTGATCTCAAAGTTGGCGATAGCCTGTCCACAATCTCTGGAGCCTCACCAATCACAGGTACAAGAAACCACACCTCTTAATGCTCTGTAATAACACAATCTTGATATACGCAGAGATCTCAAAGGTTGACAAGCTGGGACTCTACAACCCCTTGACACTGTCGGGCAACATTCTTGTCAATAACGTGGTGGCCTCTGTTCACAGCGAATGGTTCTTAGATTCTCTGTTCGATGCCCTTGATGCAAGCGGATACCTCCCATATGCATACCAGTCACTGCTCGCCCCAGTTCGTGCTCTTTACAACATCGCCGGAAGCACGCTCTACTCGGCTGGCTACTCCATGCTCGATTCTTGCGTGAATGTGGCAGACTTTGGCACCAAGTATGGAGGCCCCATTGCTATCACCATTGGTATTGGAGCTCTAGCCTTTGCCGCTCGCTCCATTTAGAGCAGCCGCATTCTTACAAAGAAAGAATAATCAAGTGAATTATTTGCACTTAATCATAGCTGGATGCGAATAGTACATAAGCCGCTGAATCAAACTCATCCAAATCCATCAAACGCTTGAATGCCACCTTTCCCACCTCAAGATTCTTCCACCTTCTACAAGCATCTAGGATAATTCTCCACAACACCACCAACTTAGCGTTGCTAACACTTTCCACCGAGCTAACCATGTCTACTGCGGCATTTAGCTCATTGGCTCTACCTAGAAGATCCACCATGCGCACGAAATAATCCTGCGAAGGAATCACTTCTGCAAAGAGTTTCCTGGCGGCCTCTAGCTCGCCACCGTGGCTACAAGCAGTGATAACGCTAGCCAGAGTTTTAGCGTCTGGTCGAAACCCCTCCTCTTCCATTCCACAAAGAAACTCCATCACAAGCTTGGAGCTTCCTTGACGGCCATAGCCTTCCACGAGAGCTGTCCAGGCCGCTAGCTCCTTGGCAAAGATCTTATCAAAAACCAGTCGAGTGTCCACCATGTTTCCACACTTGCAATAGAAGTCGACCAAACTAGTCCCAACGGTGAGAGATTCTTCCATCCCCATGCGGCAAGCTAGAGCATGAGTGGCTTTGCCCTGTCCCAGAGAGGCCAGGCTTCCACAAGCCTTGAGAGCAGCAGCCAAGCTGTGAGCGTCCAAAACTCAAGGAGGAATCTCTTGAAAGAGCTCCAAGCCTAGTGCTGCTTGCTTGTTCTCGGCATAGCCCAGGACCATCGAGTTCCATGCTGCGACATCGTCTCTCGGCATCGTGTCGAAAATTCATCGAGCATCCCCCATGCTCCCACACTCTGATCCCTTCGATAATCTTTGTGTTGCAGTGGTTGACCGGCTCATGAAGGAGTATTTTGATCTCTTTGAATTTGATCTATCGCCTGGGGCCAAGATTGCTACACATCATCCGATTTCAACCGGGGATGCTCGTCCAATCAAGGTTTTTATTCGTCGTTGGTCACCCAAAGAGATTAAGATTTTATGTGCAAATGTCAAGAAGATGTTGAAGAAGGGTGTTATTAGGAAGTTGCAAAGTCCTTGGGCATGTGAACCTCATCTTATGACGAAGCCTGATGGGAGTATTCATTTCTACATTGACTATCATTCATTAAACAAAGTGATGAGCCAAGATGTGTACCCTCTTCCTCATATTGTTGATCTTTTAGATCGTCTGGGGCGAAGTCATTAGTTCACCAAACTAGATCTTGCTTCTAGGTATTGGCAAGTACCAATGGCCGAAAAAGATATTTTTAAAACTACTTTTCATACACTATTTAGTTTGTATGAGTTTTTGGTGATGCCGTTTAGTTTAAACAATGCTCTAGCAACTTTCTAGCGGATGATGGACGAAGTTCTTTGCGATGAGCCCGAGTGTGCTTGATCAGTGCCATCTCATTGCATATATAAACCGTACATTGCAATCAGTGGAGGTGAATTACAGAAGGAGTGTTTAGCAGCAGTCTAGGGTTTTGAGAAACTTCATGCATATTTACATGGTTTTCGGACGTTAGTTGAAGATGATTATGTTAATATTACTTCATTATTGAAACGAAAAAACTTGGTTGGTCGTACTGTTCGGTGGGCTTTGAAGCTTTAGATATATAATTTTGATGTTTTTCATCACCTAGGGAGTTTTATAGCTAATGCTGATGGCATTTCTATAGCTCCTCTTCCTTCTGCACTCTCTTCTCATGTTTTTAACGAGCTTGTTGTTCTAGCATCTGTGGATTTTTTAGACGAGGATTCTGTGCCGTCGGCGGTTGCTACACTTGATGTTCAGTGTCCACAAGGCGCATAGCAAAATCTACCCTCTTTTGATGAGGTTCGCAAAGGTCAAAAGATTGAGTCGTGGATTCAAAGGCTTCAAGATGGGTTTGAGAATCTTGCATCACTTGCTGATACCTTGAAGACAGCCTTCTTTATTTTGATGATCATTTACGGCTGATGGTGCCTTCTATCTTTATTCCATGGTTTCTCCATGGCTATCATGATTCTCCTCTTCTAGGTAGGTATATAGGGCATTGTAGTGTAACTAAGAAGCTACGCAGATCTTTCTATTGGCCGGAGATGCGACGTGATATTATCTAGTATGTGCGTAGCTGTGTTTGGTGCCAAGTTCGTAATACTCCCCCTCGTGCTATGGAAGGACGATTAGAGTCAATTGCAATTTCCCATTCGTTTGAGTTGGTGGCATTTGATCTTATAGAACTTTTTCCATAGTCGACTGCTGGTAATGAGTATGTTATTATTGCTTCTGATTACTTGATTACTTGACTTGTTGAGTGAAAGTTGGTGCTCTTGTTAGTGCCTCTGCAACTTTTGTTAGATACTTCCTCCTCAATCGAACAGTGTTCTAGCATTCTCGTTCATAGTGGATTCTTTCGAACACTTAAGTCATGTATAAATGTGACAACAATGGCGCTACAACTCCCATCATCGTTCACTTGCGGAGTACAAAGTGGATGACTTAGTGTTAGTCCATTTTCCCCATTTTAAGGTACGTGGTTTATCTAAGGGGTTTATTGCTCAATGGAAAGGACCGTATTGGGTGTTGTGGCAAGTTGGACCACAAGTTTATGAAGTTTGCAATAATGTTTAGCAGAATGATCTTCTAGATATTGCGCATGTGTAGTGGTTAAAATGCTTCATACAAAGGGATCAGAAGCAATTAATACCACTTACAGATCTGCCAATGCCTCCTCCTAACGTTCTTCCAGATCCCGGCCCATCTACAAAAGAACCTTGATGGTGTTCCATTATTCTGAAAGGAGGGAATGATGTGAAGGCCAAGTGTATGGCTATGATGCCATATACTAATATTAGTATAGTGGGATTTTGGTAGCCGTCGGATTGGTTTCAATCCGGACCACTCGCTCCTGTATATAAGCTAGGGTAATTGATATACACAATCAAAGCTCTAAAATAATGAAATTTATAAATAATCATTAGTTACAAAATAACTAACAATCACTCTTAAATTTGTTGTCATAAGGCTCAAACACTAAATTTACATCATTGAGTTATATATTTGTCCAACATAAAAGTAACACTCTAAATACAACATATAGAAACATAAATAATTACAGACAAAATGACTACTTAAATCCAATCATACAACAATAACCCTACTAACATCTTTAACAAATAACTCTAAGTACAAATGAAGAGGTTAGCCACAAATGATTAACATTTAGTTGAAACTAAAGGGAAGACTATGAGATGGATTTATATACCTAAAACTGTTATTACTTTAACTGCAAACAACTAAGCTAAATATCACTATCTTAAACTAAGTCAAGTTTAATTAGAGTTAACTACTCTCATTAAATTTAACTAAATATAAGATGTAATCTACCAACAAATATAATGTTACATAAGAAAAGCCTAAGGGAAAAAAACAACAACCACTTTTTTACTTTAATTTTAGTCAACTTTAACCCTTTCACTAAATGGCTTTCAAAAATGAAATGGTTTTTGGGCAAAATAATCAACAAATCAACCATTAAGAAAATTTGTGGAAAATTTTCTTTACTACAAAAAGAATAACTTTTAATCCAAGAATGTAAATTTTTAATACTCAACCAACTTCCTCTTATTTACAATTTCATATATATTCATTTCAACTTAAATTTTTATGACTCAACAATATGCCTAAGAGTCCAATATCATACCCATATATATAACATTTGACAATGATATCCGCAAATACCAATGAATACCCAAAATTTGATCATGAAACAATATTTTCAGGCATTTAAATTGCACTTACTAAATTGTTAGATGGAAAATGTGTGTCATTATTATGTCAATTGATAAAGAATTTTCCTTACAACTTGATTTTCCATATCATTTTTTATGTTAATATTTTAACTTCATTTTAAATGTTAAAAGTGATTAAAGAAGAATGTAAATGTAATATGGATAACTGAAGATATAGTTTTGTAAGTGACACATATATATTACAATAATTTGAGCATATATATGCACATTTATGTTAATCTTTTACAATTTTTTACCAGCCCACTCACCCACACCCCCGCTCCCCCCCTTCCCCTTACAAAATAAAAATAAAAAATACTCTTAGAAACCTTGACTCTAGCCCTAGCTGCAGCAGCAGCAAATTGGTCGAATCAGTCAGGTTCCAGAAGCTCTGCCAATGAACAGAAGGGGCATTTCGCAGATTAAAATGCCACTTTCCAAGTGGGATTTTTTCACTAGTTATTTTGTTGTGCCGGCTGAGTGTCTAGAACTAGGTAGACAATATATGTACTAGATGTTTGACAATTGATATAGCTAAAGGATGTTTCGCTCACTCACCCATATTCTTCCCCAGAAAATCATATCACATGTAATTACGTTTAAGTTCATCCTATTTAAGCAGTGCATGGCCAATGATTCTTCATAAGCTTAGTGTCTGCTTAAGTATATTTGAAAGACAATGGCTTCTCTAGCTGCTGTGTTTGCTGTGATCTCTTTTCTTGGATTGTTTTCCACTGTGTTTGCTACCAATATAGTGAGGTGCAATACTGCTGCTGATTGCACAGCAGCGGGGCTAACTGGATTCACATGTAACAATGGAATATGTCAAAACAACACTGGATGCTTTCCAGGTAATAAAGTTATTCTCTAGAAATTACACTGTGCTATGTAACCATGCAATATCTATCTAGGTGATGCAATGGTTCATATGTACAGTGGAGAAATGAAGACCATGAAGGAACTTAAGATTGGAGATAAGGCAAGATCCTAGCTAGTAATCCACTTTGCTTCACATGATTAATGAGCTTCCACAGGTTGCTGTTGGGAAGAATTCATTTTCGGATATCTACGCATTTGGTCACAAGGATCTAGACGTTGTCTCTGAATTCGTGCAAGTCAAGGCCGAAGCCAACACCTTGGAGCTTACAGCCGGTCACTTTGTCCCAGTTAACACCAAAGGAGAGATAATTTACAAGCGAGCTGCTGATCTCAAAGTTGGCGATAGCCTGTCCACAATCTCTGGAGCCTCACCAATCACAGGTACAAGAAACCACACCTCTTAATGCTCTGTAATAACACAATCTTGATATACGCAGAGATCTCAAAGGTTGACAAGCTGGGACTCTACAACCCCTTGACACTGTCGGGCGACATTCTTGTCAATAACGTAGTGGCCTCTGTTCACAGCGAATGGTTCTTAGATTCTCTGTTCGATGCCCTTGGTGCAAGCGAATACCTCCCATATGCATACCAGTCACTGCTCGCTCCAGTTCGTGCTCTTTACAACATCGCTGGAAGCAAGCTCTACTCGGCTGGCTACTCCATGCTCGATTCTTGCGTGAATGTGGCAGACTCTGGCACCAAGTATGGAGCCACCATTGCGGTCACCATTGGTCTTGGAGCTCTAGCCTTTGCAGCTCGCTCCATTTAGAGCCGCCAAATTTTTTTATGAAGAATTACTGTTGTCATGTTTATCGTCATAGCATTTTAATCTTGGTTTTTCTAACCAACTATATTGAACTTAAGATATTTTATTAAAACATCATAAAAAGATAGATGTCAAAAGTATAAAGTAAGGATTTTTTCCTTGAGGAAACTAAAGTTTACAACACAAAACAATGAATATGTGATTATGTATGCATACATTATATATTTACACATGTGTGGAGTTTTTTTTATTAATTTTTTTAGTTATACGTGTGAGTTCGAGGTGTACAGTTACAATGCCATATATTAATATTTGTGTAGTTAGTCATATGATTATTTTAATTTGGACATGAATGTCATTACCAACTAAGTTTGATTGATCAATTGCAACTATATAGCATCAAGCAATTACACAAATTGCACCAATTGTTACTTTAGAATCAAATAAGGAGTTTGTCCAGCCATGAAAATGAAAGAAAAGAAAATGAAAAGGCAAAAAAGAAAAATGAAATGAAATAGTTCATATTCAAGAGCAAGTAAACACATGTAAATGTTTGTGTGTACTATAATAATAATATAATCCTTCTAAATGTAAATAAATTCTCAATTGATGATATCAAAACTCATTATTCTAAGTAATTTATGGCAATTGCAAAAAGCTTTACATATATTTCTAACATTTAAAGAACTTTATTAAAAAATTTATTACAAGGTTTTATTAGTTCATAATAGTGCAATTACTATAGTTGAAGACTGGAATTATCCAATTTTAAAGTCCATCGCATTATACAGGTGTACCAAAGCATCACCTGCTTAAAAATATAGAACTAGGTAGACAATATATGTACTAGATGTTTGACAATTGATATAGCTAAGATGTTTCGCTCACTCACCCATATTCTTCCCCAGAAAATCATATCACATGTAATTACGTTTAAGTTCATCCTATTTAAGCAGTGCATGGCCAATGATGCTTCATATGCTTAGTGTCTTCTTAAGTATATTTGAAAGGCAATGGCTTCTCTAGCTGCTGTGTTTGCTGTGGTCTCTCTTCTTGGATTGTTTTCCACTGTATTTGCTACTAATATAGTGAGTTGCACTACTACTGCTGATTGCACAACAGCGGGGCTAACTGGATTCACATGTAACAATGGAATATGTCAAAACCCTGGATGCTTTCCAGGTAATAAAGTTATTCTCTACAAATTACACTGTGCTATGTAACCATGCAATATCTATCTAGGTGATGCAATGGTTCATATGTACAGTGGAGAAATGAAGACCATGAAGGAACTTAAGATTGGAGATAAGGCAAGATCCTAGCTAGTAATCCACTTTGCTTCACATGATTAATGAGTTTCTACAGGTTGCTGTTGGGAAGAATTCATTTTCGGATATCTACGCGTTTGGTCACAAGGATCTAGATGTTGTCTCTGAATTCGTGCAAGTCAAGACCGAAGCCAACACCTTGGAGCTTACAGCCGGTCACTTTGTCCCAGTTAACACCAAAGGAGAGATAATTTACAAGCGAGCTGCTGATCTCAAAGTTGGCGATAGCCTGTCCACAATCTCTGGAGCCTCACCAATCACAGGTACAAGAAACCACACCTCTTAATGCTCTGTAATAACACAATCTTGATATACGCAGAGATCTCAAAGGTTGACAAGCTGGGACTCTACAACCCCTTGACACTGTCGGGCAACATTCTTGTCAATAACGTGGTGGCCTCTGTTCACAGCGAATGGTTCTTAGATTCTCTGTTCGATGCCCTTGGTGCAAGCGAATACCTCCCATATGCATACCAGTCACTGCTCGCTCCAGTTCGTGCTCTTTACAACATCGCGGGAAGCAAGCTCTACTCGGCTGGCTACTCCATGCTCGATTCTTGCGTGAATGTGGCAGACTCTGGCACCAAGTATGGAGGCCCCATTGCTATCACCATTGGTATTGGAGCTCTAGCCTTTGCCGCTCGCTCCATTTAGAGCAGCCGCATTCTTACAAAGAAAGAATAATCAAGTGAATTATTTGCACTTAATCATAGCTGGATGCGAATAGTACATAAGCCGCTGAATCAAACTCATCCAAATCCATCAAACGCTTGAATGCCACCTTTCCCACCTCAAGATTCTTCCACCTTCTACAAGCATCTAGGATAATTCTCCACAACACCACCAACTTAGCGTTGCTAACACTTTCCACCGAGCTAACCATGTCTACTGCGGCATTTAGCTCATTGGCTCTACCTAGAAGATCCACCATGCGCACGAAATAATCCTGCGAAGGAATCACTTCTGCAAAGAGTTTCCTGGCGGCCTCTAGCTCGCCACCGTGGCTACAAGCAGTGATAACGCTAGCCAGAGTTTTAGCGTCTGGTCGAAACCCCTCCTCGTCCATTCCACAAAGAAGCTCCATCACAAGCTTGGAGCTTCCTTGACGGCCATAGCCTTCCACGAGAGCTGTCCAGGCCGCTAGCTCCTTGGCAAAGATCTTATCAAAAACCAGTCGAGCGTCCACCATGCTTCCACACTTGCCATAGAAGTCGACCAAACTAGTCCCAACGATGAGAGATTCTTCCATCCCCAGGCGGCAAGCTAGAGCATGAGTGGCTTTGCCCCGTCCCAGAGAGGCCAGGCTTCCACTAGCCTTGAGAGCAGCAGCCAAGCTGTGAGCGTCCAAAACTCGAGGAGGAATCTCTCGAAAGAGCTCCAAGCCCAGCGCTGCTTGCTTGTTCTCGGCATAGCCCAGGACCATCGAGTTCCATGCTGCGACGTCGTCTCTCGGCATCGTGTCGAAAACTCGTCGAGCATCCCCCATGCTCCCACACTTGGCGTACATCGCCACAAGTCCGCGAGCCACCTCGTAGTCATTCCAGCCGGCATGGTAAGCTTGAATGTGGAACGCCATGCCTCTCTCCAGGCACACCATCTTTGCGTCCACTTCCCCTCTGGATCCCAAGCACGCGCAGAGATTGAGTCCCGAGAGAATGCTCGATCGATCAGCATCATCGCCAAGCTCCACGAACTTGACAAGCTCTAGAGCTCGCTCTTCATCACCATTCGAGACGTAGCCAAGCAGAAGTGCCGTCCATAAAACCATATCCCGCCTTGGTGTCTTCTCGAAAACTTTCCAGGCATCGTCCATAGTGCCGCACTTCGCGTACAGATCTATCAAAGAGCTTGCCACGAACGCTTCGGAGTCTAGCCTCATGTCCGAAGCTAAACGGTGAAGAGCCATTCCTTTCTCCAAGGCCATAACTTTGGGAAGATTGCTTCCTTCCTGTTCCTTCTCTGCTTGTAGAGTACACGCCTTGAACGCAGCTACGAAAGTTCGAGCATTAGGCGAGCACGTCCCCTCAAGCAGCATCAACGTGAACAGCTCAATAGCAAGCTCAGCTTCTCCATTCTCTACGTATCCCTGGATCATGACATTCCAAGTCACGATGTTGTTCCTGGGAGGATGGAGCTCGTCAAACACCTTTCGAGCTTCGTCTGGGACACCGTACTTGGAATACATGTCGATCAAACTGCTTGCAACGTAGACGTTGGAGTCGAAGCCATCGGTAGCAGCCCGTGCATGAACAGCCATTCCCTTCTCCAGGTCCACAAAGTTCGCCCAAATCTGAAAGGCATCTTCTGCGTCCCTTGGTACTTCTTTAGTCGCCAGTCGAGTGCAAGCGCTCAACGCTGCAACGTAAGTTTGAGCGTCTGGCTTAAAGACTTCGCTGTTCATCCGCCCGAACAGTTCTAAAGCCACTTCCTCTTCTCCATTCTCGGCATACCCCAAGATTAACGAATTCCAGGAGACCACATTCCGCTGCGTCATCCTGTCAAAAATCCTACGCGCGTCTAGCATGCTCCCACACTTGACGTAAGTATCCACCAGGCAGCTCGCCACATATAAGTCCGAATCGCACTTCTTCCTTGACGTCTCGGAGTGGATTTTCATGGCTCTTTCCAGAGAAATGATCTTCACCAAGGAGCCATTGGCTCGTTTTGCTGCCTTTTCCTTCACGGCCAAAACACTGCAAGCCTTGAGTGCCGCCACAAAACTTAGAAAATCCATCTCAGCATCCTCGTGTTGCATCTGTGAAAACACTTCCAAGGCCATCTCTCCCTGCCCGTTTTCAGCATATCCGAGAACCAATGCAGTCCATGAAACCACCGTCGGACTCTGGATCCCGTAGAAGACCCTGCTTGAATCCTCCATGCTACCACAGTTTGCATAACAGTCCACCAACACGTTTGCTACGAATCTGTCCATGTCACAGCCGAAACTTGCAGCTTGGGAGTGAAGAGCCATGCCTTTCTCGAGAGCCCTGAGCTTCACAAGCTTCCCATCGATCAGCGCCGTGTCTTCTTGCTTTGCTAGACAAGCACAAGCTTTGAAGGCGGCTACAAAGCTTCGAGAGTTTGGACCAAAGCCATCAGCTTGCATGAGTTGAAAGAGGTCCAGTGCCAGTTCTGCGTAGCCACTGTCAGCGTATCCCAGCACCATAACATTCCATGACACAAGGTCATGGCGATCCATCCTGTCGAAAAGCCTGCGAGCGTCTGTCAAGCTCCCACACCTGGCGTACAT